TACAGTAAGACAACAAAACGATTTGTAAGGGAATCGAAACTTACTCATTATATCCCAGGTGAGCTGTCGTTGCCCCCAGAAGTGCAATTGCCAGGAAGATAATCATTATCTGAATTATATTTATTTAATAAGATATTTGAATTAATTATAATATGTGTAGATCGTTATCTCTCACAAAAAGAAAGAAAGTCGAAGAAATGGAAAGGAACTAAAGCAAAGTATGACCGTGGATTCTCCTTGGACCTTTTATATCGCAGGTACGCAATGAATTTGTCACATAAAATTGCCCGTAGACAAAACTTCTCCGTTCCTTTGGAAAACATTTTTCGGCAAATGGTATGGTTTACTAATGACAACATAGCAACATTTTCAAGCACTACCTCATAAAGAATGAATTTGAATTTTTTTGGAATGCATAAAATTTGGAATTCGGTGTCGTTTCAATGGGTAGTTGGATATGCTGACAGCAAAAATCATCTATTTCTCTTGGAAATTCCTATAATATTACCTTAGATACATGCTGGAATGATCAAAAACCCTAATTTACCTGATAGAAAGTCTTCTAGTTAATTGCATGCTAATTACGAATGTTCTTCATTCCCACAAGTTTAATCCATTCCTCGTAGTAAACACAAAACTATTCAGGTATCATTCAAGCAAATGGTAATAGTCTACTAGTGAAAGAGCAGCGTTTACCAGTCACTACCTTATAAAGTACATTCTTGTCTGCTTAAACACTGATTTATTCCGTACTGTATCACACTAAGATCAAGTTTGACCCAGGATAAAAACCTTGGATTTACTGCAACTGGAAGATAGTAAATGCACATTTTTGCAAGGCAACAACTTCATAAAAATTAGTTACATTCTCTTTTTTCAAAGTCTATAGGCAAGTATTATTTGCAGCTATCTGTCCTTAATATAAAATCCGCCTTTAAAACTTCTCACTACAAATCGGTATTTTCACGGGCTTGAACGTATTCTTCAAGTTCTAACCTAGCAATTGTGAAACTGCTGGGTTAAAGATGCACGCGACTAAAAAGGATGAATGGCAGTTTTTCATAAACCTAGAGATCAGCCCAACAAGTTAAGATAACTAGTTCCGAGGGGTTATTTGCTACTGTAGTTCAAACTGCTTCATTTCAAACCTTGTCTGGTATATTAAATCGTTATTGATGACGAAACATCAATTTTCAGGTTCTCTCTCTTTACAAACTTTCTTAAAAGTCCTATGAATGTTGTGAGGGAGCTACAGATCCCGCGGTTCTCAGATATCCTCGCGTATTTGCACTTAGTGTTGACTGCAGTAAGCCCTTAGCAGCTCACTAGTACTATCCAGTTATTTATTCGTCTAGTCTTAAAAACGTATATAATTGTCGGATTCTTCTCACTCGACCAGTCAAATTTTCGACGCGATTTACTGGACTTCTTAGTTGAGATACACAACAATATCGCCTATAGCTTCTGCAAAAAAC